AATATAAATAGATTTAGCAGGTGACATGATAAAAACGAGTTTTAAATACAATAATAGCGCACATATCACGTAATGAGAGATCCTGTTTTAATGAAACACAATGCAAAAAATTAGTAAAAGCATTTTCACGAATCTACTTGATCATCTTCAAGTAATCAGTGATACAAAAGCGTGGTAGTATGTTTTGTTTTCAAAAAGATGAGAAATCCGCGAAAAACCGCCTATATTTCCCTATCTGAATTTCCACAAGCTGCCATGTCAATGATCGTATGCAGGAAAAAATAATGATTGTATATTATTTATTTATTTTATATTTAAATGTATGTATTTACTGTCAAGTCCTTCCCTCTTCTCTTTCAATTAGAAGTTAATTAAAAATAATTGTATATTATATACTTGCTCTAAAAATGCAGATAATAGATACAATTTTCAAATTAAGATGTGAAACTATAAAGTCAATTCAGGCACCAGAAATAGATATTAACGTAATGACACGTGACTTATTTTCGGATCGTCGGAGTTTCCTCTACGGGGGAAATTCTAGCCCGGATAATCGCGTGAAATCTCGATCATTAAATTGATATTCCATGAATCGGTGTCAGGAGCACTCGATACCCCACCTGAATAGGCTTGTTTCGCGTTGAATCGCGAAGGGCTCGTATTCTCGCCATGAGCGGAGGGTCGCGTTTCTCTATCGGAATACGAGCCCTTCGCGATTCAACGCGAGCAAACTGGCCGCCCTTTCGACAGTAGGACAATAGAGCTTACGTTCATTCAATATTTTTCCATCAACAGGCTGCACGCGCTCATCTCGTTATAAAGTCTGTTTGATCGGCAAACATCGCGGGTTCGTGTCCTTGATAGTCGCGCGTGCAATCGGTGCGACACGCACACACACAATTACCCCTTTTATGTGAGAGATATTCGTCTCTTAAAAATGTGTTTACAATATTCACAATTAAATAAATCCTTCATTAATCCAATTAAAAACTTCTTATTCCGCGCTAATAATTCTTTGATTACGTTTATGTGTTTGCTTTGAATCTGTTTCGAAGTTTATTACCAAGCGTGCTTATCATCTTTTGCAAACATTCGTTATATTCCTCATTAATTAATTGCCCTCATTAATTAATTACGTATATAAAGTGTAGACGTTTTTAACAAAAAAAATTATGTGTACAAAATTACGTGAAAAAATATTTATAAAAGACATTTTCTTTTCAAAGGATATAATTTTAGTAAACAACTCGTTCGTGCGTTGATTTAAATTGCATGAGAAAAATACGAGTTATCGTTAAAAAAAATAAGAACACATCATCAAAGTCTGTTATTGGGGCATCGCTGCTCGGATTTAAGCACCTTGTGGATATTATCAAGATCGTAAATAATCTTGACGGTCTGCGTGCATCTGCGCCCAATATTCCGGCGGTTGTCTTGGAGTCACCCTCTCACGCCACTCTTGTATTCTGTCTATCTCGTACGACGACAATTCAACTCAACGCGGAGAGAACCGATGACAAACCTTGCCATCTAAACAAAGGGCCTCATGCCGCAAATGCGCACCAGACACGCAATTTCCGTGCGACATGTAAATCGCACGAAATGAATTTCTGCCAATCACGCACGTGCGCCAGCCGCGCACGATCACGAAAATCGTGTGGTCCAGTGTGTGTATGTGTATGTGTGTGCATGTATGTACGCATGTGAAGAGTATTTTCAAAAAAATTGCCATATAACAAAGCCTATAAAAAAAGAGAATACAGTACATGTAATATAGAGAAGGAACGCGCTACGTTGTTGAAACAAAATTGCATTTATCGATAGTGGCACCGCTTTTTTATTTTTCGCCGCGTTTGTTTTGTGTGAAACCACTAATATATCGAATTGTATATCATTCATATCAATTATTAATACGTTATTCTTGTTGCTAAAAATGCAATAACAGTTCATATAATTAAACGCGAATTTTCAGCGTACAGCTTTTAACAGAGTTTTAGTAGTCAATAATATATGCATCGTTTATCGCATCATATTTTCAATAAAAAAAAACAGAAATATTCACTTTTAATTAAAAAGTCGATCGGTTATGTGGAGCTTTAAATAAAGAGCGGAGATTTTAATATTAACTTGTGATCCGTATGAAAATTAAATTTATTCGAGAAATCGAATAAATGAGATACGTTAATGCTCGCTGTAATATTTCCTTTCCAATTATATTTCCTTTCCAGTAATATTTATACTGTATAGAGCAATCGAATCAACAAAATAAAAAAATACAAAATAACAGTTCAACATAAGCATGAAAACGTTGTTAAGAGATAAACATTTTTTAAAGAACAGATAATTTGTAAAAATATTTATATTTATGACAAGGTTGTCTCAAGTGATAGAAGAGATAAAAAATAGAAATTGTACTTCGAAATGTTCACTTAATTCAACTAATATAAAATGCAAGCAGTGTGATAGCTATGAAAATAAATGTATTCATATATAAGTTACGAATACTATGGATAAATATTTACAAAATCTCATTGTAATATATATGAATAAGTTTATTTTCATACTTATCACAATGTTTGCATTTCGTATTAGTTACGAATATTATGGATAAACCTTTAAAATGCTCATAATTATAGAAAAATGGTATAATATAAATAGTAAAGTATAGAATATAAATAATTTTTATAGAATTTTTCTTGGTTAAACCAAGTAAATATTAAATCTCAATTCAAGATTTTTAATATTCCTCTTATCCTCCTGAGAAGATGTAAGCGAGAAAAATCGGGCCGAAGTTGCTGAATCTGGAATCGAGTCTTTTGCTTGTCGGGCCACTGAGTTATTCAGATCCTTTCTCATTTGCTTACATATAAATCTATTATAAATAATAATAATGCTTTTTATGTTGGTGTATAAGTTAAAAAGATAGTAAGTAAGACTTTTAATATGAAGCACAAGATTTTAAATATCGCAGGCTATAAAATATTTCAACATTATTAGCAATTCTTTTAATTTAATAAAACATTTATTCGGTTTTATCGCATCAATATCGCCAATATTCTCGACGATCAAATCTAAATAAAATCAAATAATATCAAATTTACAAAATAAAAGAAATGATTATAAATTTATGAAATTACTTACTAATTTATAAGTATTACTTACTTATTAAATGGTTATAAATTTATGATTTATATATATATATATATATATATATATATATATATATCATTCTTACATAAATTTTATATAACTACTTATCTTTTAAAGTAGAATATTACTACTTTATCTTTTTTGAATTATACCTAAATATACATACGAATATCGATAATCGCATACAATTTAAAAGTTTGACGTTCTCTCAAATGTTATAAATATTCTAATTAGATATGTAACCTATTTAACAGTTGATAAAGTTATAAATATTTAAGTCAGTCTCATTCAACAAGTAACATATATTCAGATTTTAATAATTCAAATTTGTCATTATAATTTATAATTATATTATTCGAATATAATTAGTAATTCCTGAAAATACATAAATTTAAATAATCGGGCAACAATGTTCTTTCTTGGAAAAAATCAATCTTTATATTATTAATATATGTATGTTTTCTAATTCTCAAATATTTAACAATATGAGATTTAATGATAACAATAATAATAATAATAATAATAATAATAATAATAATAATAATAATAATAATAATAGTAATTTAACAATAATAATGATAGTTTTAATTTGTAGAAATTTAAATATTACACATTAATGAAAGATTTTGTAATCCTGGTTATTACAAATTGTCCATAGTTAAATTTAATTTTATGTACGCAGTTTATTAAGCAATTAAAATTCAGAATTCAAATTTTTTTTAATAACAAAAAATAAAAGAGAAATATTGAAATAAATTAAAAGTACATTATTACTTCACAGACAGTATTACTTCACAAGTATTTTTTTATATAAAAATAACAATTTAATTCTGATTTAAATAATTTTGTTTAGTGGAAAAATTCTAACATTTTGATATATCATCATATATGTGTTTTTAATGTAACATAAAATAATTTTATAAAACAAGAATTAAAGCTCTTTTTATGCAAATATACAATTGTTCAATTTTGAACTAGATACTGCACATTAAATTTTTATATGTGTATATATGTGTGTCACATTTATTGCTATTTATATATATATCTGAAAAGGCTGCGTAATATAGGTTTGTAACGTGATATTTATAATAGAATTTATATATTTAGGCGGATGGAGAAATATTATTTTAGATCACATAAACACTTAAAAAATCAATAGAGAGGCAGAGAGAGGGGAGAAGGAGGGGGAAGAGAGGAGAGAGAGAGAGAGAGAGAGAATTGTATATTATCATATAACTTGGAAGCATGTAGGGCTCGGATTTGCCTTGTACTCCCTTCCATAATATGTCCCGTGATAGTCATTGTCGACGTATTATCCGATTACAGGCGGGAAAAAAGCGCGATACTTCGTTAATATTCTAATCTAATATAATAACGGCGAAAATAATTCGTTTTCTTACAGTTACGTTACAATAGAGGAAGCACTTTAATTTCTAATCGAATGGCATTAAATTAAATCAATTTTATCATACGAATACTGCAAATACGCACGTATACATATTACACGTGTAACACAATCTCTTTTTAGAATATTATATAATTATATTTTTTTTATTCTTATTATTAAAAAAATTAATTTATTGTGCGACCAATTTTTGCAACTGTGCTACAATACGCTATTTAGCTCTTGGCTATTATTCATTTATTCTAGAAAGAACCGCAATTCTAAAATATGACAAATGACGTCGTTGTTCTTTTTAAATGCAATGTATGCTGCTTTTTTTCTTGTAAAGTCGCAATTTATTCAAATACATTGTCAGACCGCTCTTCCGCATGTTGCAAATTTTATACATATGTCAGGAAAAATGCGAAACAATTTGACATCTCGTGAAATCATTAATTAGTCTCATTACACGACATGCTACGCAAGTGGCAAAACAGACGCGTGTAATTATTCATTGTCAATGCTTAACAAATAAAGATCATCATTCGATGCGATATAAATGCCGCGCACCTGCATTACGGCGCATCATTCTATACGCAAAATTTCAACATGAAGTTGACAGTGGTGTTTCTAATCATGGCGATCCTGGTCTGTGCCATGTTCCAGGAATCCGTAAGTGTTAATTTATAAGTTTTGATAGTTTCTTGTGCCGGAGAATAACGAGATGTTGTTCTGTCTGAAGGAACAATTTTGGTGGGGGCATAGGAATTATCGTAGGGGAGGATGTCGCCGTAGAACCACGACTACAACTACAACAACAACTACAACTACAACTCCAGCAACTACTACTACGCCGAGAAATAATACTGGATAGAAAAAGCGCAAGATTTAAAAAGCGTTCTGCCTTTATCTGCATTAACCTGATAAGCGTGAGAAAATTGGAAACTCAAGTCTACTTAGAGAAAAATAATACTAACATGCAAAATCTTTGTTATACTATATGAATATATACATATAGTACTGTAGAATTAACAAGGTAAACTAACATATTCTAGAAATATAGCATGTGAAATAATCGCTATAATAAAAATATACTAGATATACTAAAATAACTTCTCAAGTTTTTTGAATGAAATTCTAGTCTAGTGAAATTATCATGTTAGAAATGTGCGTTCAAACGATTTTTTTTGCAGATAAGCCTTATCATTTTTCGTCATATCTCGGAAACGCCGCAAATCCAGCATACTCGAAGAATGAATATTTACATATAATATTCAGTAAACAAACAAATTCGGGAAGTTTTCTAAAAAATTTATAATAATTCTTTATCGTCGAGTAATATTATTTAAGTATATTTGTGATGTAAAATATATTTTTTAGTTCATATTGAGATTCGTATCTTTTATATCAAGAAGAACCGTGAAAATCGAAAATTTCTACGCGATTACTCTTGACGTATTGCTGGCTAAAAAAAATCCACGTCGTTGCGATTGATACAACGTGTGTGCCGAAGGTACGCGAGTGTGAATAGAGAGCTTCATCGCTTCTCTTTATCGTGCCTGCGGGCCCCCTCGTCGAACATGCTGGATTTGCGATGATGATGTCTTCGAGATGTGACGAAAAGCGGTAAGATATGTCGCTGAAGAAAAAAGTCGCTCGGGCGCACATTTCTATCCTGGCGGCTTCGCTAGGCTAGAATTTATTTTCCTATGAGATGTGCGGGTGTACGTATGTGTGCGTGTATATATATGCATATATGCGTGTCGTTGCAGACGCCAGCAGCTGCCGGGTACGATATTCTACATGCGTTATTCACATATTTCCATACATAAATTTCATAGAGGTGAAAGTAGATGCCTGTTTGGTTGCGTGTCGCCGACGATCGTATGACGACGCGTTTTTCAGGGAAGACTTTACTTCTATTACTCTATTTACATATATGAAATAATTTCAGGTGAAAAATAGAAATGTCAGGTAAAAAAATACCTACTTTTATCGTTTTATTTTCGAAACAGAAGCACATCGCGCAATTAAAAAAAAACACAGCATCGCATACACAAACAATCGCTCCTTTTAAACTAAAAACACTTTATATCGCATTTTAATCATCGATTATATTTTCTTTCGTAAAAAATGCGGCGCGGTGTAAAAGCGTAAAAAAAAAGATTTTAATATGGCAAAAGCCAGCAGCAGAGCGTGGTCACGTCAGCTCGGTGGTGTAACCTAATTTTCAGCGATTAAATGCAACGAGCGCGATAATGCTTGTAAATTGAGCGAATTATGCCACCGGTGCTGGCACCCGACGTAGCCTCGTCTGATTAACATGCACGTTACGCCGGATAATGCCGTTCGACCTGACATTTGCATTGGTACGCGTCGAACGGCCTGAGATTTTAACACGTGGGCCTTGAACGGATAATCATGTAAAGCTCGTAAACTGTTCGCAATAATTGCATTCACCTCTAATGTAAATACGATCCCTTCTTCGTTTCCCGTGAAATTTATTCCTCGTACTTTTGCAGAGAAATACAAGACATTATTTAAACAAATCATATTACACTTTACATAATAAAATAAAATTTATTTATTGCGAATGTTTGACGATTTTTGTGGTCTCTTTATCCGTTCGACGTGTTTCGTGCAGAATCTTTTGAAAAAGTGATGGAAATGGCGACGGAAACATTCTTCGACGTCGACAGATTGTTAGTTCACGTGTTCAAGCAGTCGTCCTGTTACCAATTTCCTGAGCGTTTTTCCTCCGGCTATAGAGATCCCGGCCAGGTGAAATCATGGCTACCTTTACGAGAAAAGAAACCGACCCCCACGGTAAGCAACTTCTGCTCGCGACAGCTACAGCTTTTCCTTCTTCCGTCTCATTCAGACCGTATTCCCGAGTCTCCCCCTCCATCATCTCTCTCTCTCTCTCTCTCTCTCTCTCTCTTGCTCATCCCCCTTCTATCTTTCTCTCTTTCTCGTCGACTAGTACCGTAGTCGGGATTTCCCATTCGTGTGCGACGTTTTCACTGTTGCGTATCGAATGCAGAGAGCCGGCAGCCAACCCCTTCGTTTTGGTCCACGAGTGCGAATCCTCGAAATGCGTGGGATGGAAAGCATAGGGATAGGGGGAAGCACCGATTCGACAAGGGGGGTAGACGAGGGAAGGATCGCAGAGAGGTCGGACACCACGTAAATTGCATACCCGATTGCGGTCTACTGAAGAGTGGTGTCCTCCACCGTGCCGTTCCCCCTGCCCCCGCTCGGGTGCCGCGACCCCAAACTAGATCTAACAAGCCGGCGACCACAGGCCAGGTTCGGCTCGCAACAGGATCGCCACCTCTGGGGACCGCCGGCGGCTACACGCCAGTGAACTGTTCCCCTGTATGCATGTGTGTCCCTGCACTACCCCTACGATGAGAATCTTTGTGTCCACCCGCTCGCTCGTCCTAACAAGCCCTCTTATGTCTATTTGTAAACCTCGGTGCGCAAGAAACGTCGCGTTTTCCTCCATTTGATAAAAGATATAATTTGATTTCGGATGTGAAAATCTTCTTGGGAATGAAGAAGCCTAACATCAGATTTTAATTACGAACACTCTTTATAGACACTCTCTCTTAATAGACTGAGCGTTACAATTGTTGTCGCGCCAACGATTGTCACGTCGGGATGAGATCACGACGACTTTTCGTCGCGACAAAGTAATGAGCCACATACTGTAATGACGTTGTCATAGCGTTGTCGCTGCATTAGACAGAAAACGATACCACCCGCTGATCCCGAAGAATACCACCCGTGCTCTAAGACTTCTCAGATAGGGAATAAAAGGGAACTTGCATCGTGCATAATAGACACCGACCACGGATGACATTGTCAGATAGAGAAGCTAAATAAACTCGAGCAATTATTTCGCGAAACGCTTAATTGCCACGAGCACAAACCTTGGGAAGTCTCTTATTCTCATTCATCACTGTCACAACCAATATCATGAATTTCTGCGTCTCGATTTTTGCCTCAGTGCTTGCGCTGGTAAATATGCTTAATTATAAAAACATGGTCTAGAGAAATACATATTTTTTTTAAACGTATATATTTATGCAAAATATTTTTTCCTATAGAATTATTTATTTATAGACTCGGAAGTGTTTTCCAGGTGGACTTTCTAACTTTGCAAGGCGCGTGAAGTTTTTCTCGTTTCGTTAAAATGTATTCTATCGCGACGTATCAGGAGAGAGAATGGCCAAGCGGGATCGCAAACTTTAAACGGCACCATTAATGCAAAACGGTAGGCTTCCTCCAATGATTTTTTGAATAGTTCTTGGCACGTTAGAACGATTGTCGTAGCCGCGTCTTTGGCGCGCAATAGGAAAGGAAGTGAGAGCTTGAATAAAGCATAGCACCATTTCGTGAAAACCCTTACTGCAAACTTTTCTCGGCGACCACATTAGAAAACTTTTTACGATTGTACGATCCGACTATCCAAACTCGGGGATATTTCATTGTGTAGGTCAATTGTATAGAGTGTTCCAAAGTCGCCGGATAACCTTTGAATGACAAATCTTTTAAAAGCTATTTGGAATCGATTTTTTTTCTTAGCAAAAATATTATTAGATTTTATTGAAATTAAAAAATTAATCAATTTTTTGCATCATGTGTCTTTGTAGTCAAATATAAAATGAGATTTTTCTATTTTAAAATCTTTTTTTTAATAGTTTAGAACTCGAAAATTATTCACTTCTTTGAAAAAGAATAGCTTTTTATTTATAAAAAGGGATTAATTTACTACACAGCACACGCACTGCTTTATTTTAGCATTTTAGCATGTGTATTAAAGAGAGAGAGAGAGAGAGAGAGAGAGAGAGAGAGATTATTTGAATTAAAAAAATTTTATTAAATACAATATAAGTAAAATGTCAAATGAAATAAATAATAAAACTCTAGATTTACTTGTGAAAACACAAACATTGGCATTCATGGGATGAATTAATCCTAAGATGTAACGAATAAACTTCAATCGGTACTCTCTTCCCCCAGATAAATCCGATTCGTCTTAAGCCCAATCGCGTGGCAATCGCAGACATCTATCCAGATGAAACACTGGCGGCAACCGACGCGGGATAGTCATCCACGGCGGCTGTGAGTTTCGGATATCGAAGAAGGAGATGCTGAAGATGGGAACCGCCGAAGAGGAGAAGGAGGAAGAGGAGAAGATGGAAGTGGAGGTGAGAGTTTGTGCTTGGAGGTAAGAGGCTGAAGAGCCCATCTGGCTTCCAATCAGAGCGTTGCCACCAGCACATGTGTTCACGGCACGTTGGAGGTGGCGGCTCAATCAACGAGGGTGCATCCCTCTCCGACCTCCTTCGTCACCCCTCACTCTGGCAACTTTATATCACATAATCGAGCCTTGAAGCCGCCGTTCCGTACCTCGTTTACCCCCTTCCTCTTCCCCTTCCCGTCATCCTATCGCCAACTCTCTCTCTGCTCGTCTCCCCATCCCTCTCTCTTTCTTTCTTCGTTTCTTTCGGGGCCATGTCTTTTCGTCCTTCAGATACCAGCAGCTTCCGACATCCTACAGCTCTCTCTTCCACCGCTCTCGCATCGCGCTTCCGCATTTACGAGCTACCATCCTTCTTCTTTCCGTCGATCCTTTGCCCCTCTCTCTTTCTCTCTCTCTCTCTCTCTCTCTTTCATCTTCGAGTGACTCTAACGCGCATCAACGACAGTATCCAACGGCGCCAACGGCAGGATAAGTAATTGCGGGGGGAGGAAAATGCATCGCTCGTTGTGAGAGAAACGGCGCGATGTAACTGTGAAAAGTAATCACCTGCCGAGGTTGGATACGGCTACCTGCATCGTTGGGAAACACGACGGGGAATCGGAGGAAACTACTATCGACCGGAAAGATCCGGCCGGCGATTAGCTTCTCGAGGAGCCACGACGAGAACTATAAATTGTAATAGAGAAAGAGGGTCTTACGTAATTATTGCGCCCGTGGCGTTTACATCCTCTCATCCTCTTTCGTTTCTTTCGCGCGCCCGTTTCCGTTTGTTCCGACCCGAAGAAACTTGCGGACTCTTATTAGCGAAACAAAGTAATGATCCGGCGCGAGGTGTATTTCTTTTCCGTTTAATGATCCTAGATCGTAAAAAATCTTACGCGTACGTCGGAATTTCGTATTTACCGTAGAAATAACTCTAACGATATTAAAGAAAAGCTTCATTGCATGTATTTAAACATGCGCGGGTAGACACAAAGTAGCCGGCTGATTTCGAAAGTGTTGCAGAGATTTTAATCTAAAAATTATATTGTCCATAATGGATCTAAAGCGCTGAAGTATCTTCGTTTAAAGTGGTCTATTTGTAATTTGCGCTGAAGTATCTTCGTTTAAAGTGGTCTATTTGTAATTTGCGCAGCGGAATATCGTATAAAACATTTCGCAAAGCCGTAACATGCGCGACGCATAACACATCTGCGCCACGCTACTCAATGGCACGGAAGAGACGAATTCATGCGTAATATTTCCAGGACGATTTGGCTTGGACGTCCTTTTTGAAGCACCGTTTAAGTAAATTGGGTCCTCTTTTCTCATGCAGATACGGTATCCCCTTGGCCGAATTGAATTTAAACGGGTCCACTCGTGCCATGCTAATTTGCTCGTGCCGCCTATGCTAACGTGCCTTTGACGCTCTTATTTAGAGTACAGTGCATAAATTGTTTTGTTGTTAATACATACAAATTATTTTTTCCATACTTTTATAAACTCCCTCTGTTACGTAACGCAATAAAAAATTGTCTTGTCATTTTAATTTAATATTTCATAACCTGTTGCGACTTCAACAAAACTTTATTTTTATTTATCACAAATCTGGATAAAACTCAATTTCTAATGAGATTTTATTCAAGTTTAATTTTATATGCTAAAATATATTTTCCAGTCAGATGTAGAAAAATAATTTTTAAATAAATTTTTTTGATGGCAAAAACAGAAAAAAGAAAAAATGATTAATGGATGATTAATTTAACATAAATGGAATATGGATCAATAATATTAAGTTCTATAGTTGTTAGTCTCTATTGTATAATATATTAAACTAATTATAAATTAATATGATATTTATTAATGCATACAAATAATTCTTATTTTATTCTTGTTATACAATCGTCAATACATTTAAATAAATAAAAACTTGATGTCTACATTAATTAATTTTTACAACTATAACAACTATAAAAACTATAAATATTATATATACATGAATAATATATTATATAAATTTCATATTAATATATAAATATATATGAATATTATTATTACTATAACATATATGAATATTTCAATATTATAATAGAAAACTCAATATTATTTTTTATTTAATTTTCTTAAATTTATTGTATTTATAAAATTATTTTGTATTACGTAACAAACCAAACAAAAAACTAATTCTCAAAAATATTATTAAAATATTAATATTATTTCTTTCATTTAAGAATAAGAATAAGAAGATTATATAAATTGTAATCAAAATTATTGATTATTGCATGACGTAGCATTATCTTCTCTTCATATCCTTTCAGCATTCGCGCCATCGACAGTTTCTTGATCTTAAATCGGTTCAGCATCTGCATGCAAAATGATTAAAAAAATAAAAATTGTTTTAAGAGTCTCAGCATTATAAAGCTGTGTCATAATCACTGTTCGATTATATTTTATAATTGTTATTAAATCGTTTGTTATGAATCGAACAATTTTTTGCGCGATTATTTACATGTACAATTTTATAAATTGTCAATCATACTTACATAGAAGTTAAAAATTTTTTCATTATATCCAGTTATAAGTTTAGTATAACTAAAGTTTATTTAAATATTTATAACATAAATTTACCTTGTTATTAATTTCCCTGTTATTCATTATCTTCCAAATATTTTTTAATTTTATGTATTTGGATTATGTCGTTTATCAAGTTTGCCAAAAGACTATTCATATTTGTTTTCGCATTAACTTGACCTGATTTATCATCTAGCATACAAAGTAATTAAAAAAATAAATGTTAAAATATTTTTAGTATCATGGAATCTTGGTTTATAATCAATCGCATTATCTAATTAATTCTTGAAATTGTTACAATTTAAATCATTTATTATCAGAATATTATAATATATTTAGGTCTTTGAAAATTATTTAAACACAAGTTTTTTCTTATTTGTGATTATTGAGCTGTATAATTTTACAAACTATCAATTATAATTAAATAGAAAATAGGCATAAAATTAATTATTATATTTGCATATAATAATCAGCTTTAATTGAAATTGAGTCAAACCTTTATAATGTATATAGAAGTCGATGGATATCTGATTTTATAAATTATTATCGTGCATACACACACACACCACACAAAACACACACACACACATACGCACACGCACGCACGCACGCATACACACACACACACACTTGCACGCACAGAAAGCATATATTAAAAAAGGAGAATAGTACATGCAGACGTACAAGCACGCATACAAAGTATATATTAAAAAAAGAGAAACGTAACGAACATGAATTTATTTTTTTTACCTTGTTCCTCCTTCATTTTATCTTTATGGTTTGTATTTAAATGTTTTCGAATACCATTACAATCTAAATTTACAGGAAAATAGTGTTTACAAAGATTGCACATTGCTGTATTGTTTTCGAATGCGAAATACTGCCATATCCAATTCTCTTTTTTATCAATTTCATCATAAATTTTATTATGATCCATTGCTACGTGATTTTCATAATGATGCTTGTAAATGGTAATATAATAAAATAAATCGCAAAATCTGCATTGTGCTTTACCATTTTCTAATGTGCAGTATTTTATCCACCAACAGTCTTTTCTCTTATGTCGTTTCCCTTTAACATTATATTCATACAATTATTATTCAATCTTTAAATAACGTACACATAAATATATTCCATATTTCTGAATGTCACGTAAATGAAAACATTTTCTTCTATGCACTTATTAAATGCATGATTTTAGAAATCATAATTAATATATTTTAACAATATATGCAACAATTAGAATATTATATCAATTAAATATTAGGAACAATTAAAAGTAATTTAAATGTTTATAAAATAAAATTATTTTGATTATCTCTACCTGTGTCGATCATAGATTTATATTGTTTTGAGTGATTTTTAAGTTTAGGATATGTTTGAATCTTAAATTTCTTAAGACAAAGCTTGCACTTCATCATATTGTTTTGGAGTTTGAAATATTGAAATAACCAATTATCTTTGAAAGTATGTTCATTATGCTGTGTTTCCATATGTATTTTAGGATTACGTGTGTCTACGTATTCTGTATACTCTTGTTTACAATGTCTGCAATGTCCACATTTTTTTTAAATATCCAATATTTTTCCATGTTTGCGCGTTAATGTTATATTTACATTGTATGTTATACAACTTATTGTATTATATATAAGGAAATAACTAGTTCACCGAGGTGCGCTCGTGGAAATTTTTCTCAACAATAAGGGTCATGAAAAGAAATGTGATTCTCTGCACGAATGTAAATATTGATATAATTTAAATCTGACTAAACCGTCTAGTATTGTATCTTATTATTTGATAGGAATATCTGAAATGTCAAACATCAACACAAAATAAAGAGAAAAAAAATTCAGCTAAAAATTAGAAGCTAATATTAATTTTGCTTTTTACTTTGACTTAAAATCTAATTGAATTCTTCTTAAACTTCAATTGTTTTAATATTTTAATAATCTACACATGTAAAAGAATATCTTTTTTTTTATGGTAAATCCAAAAAATTAATTCTTCCGTATAAAAAATATTCCCATTGACCTTTTTATTAATTCAATTAACATAGTTTCCTCGATGTATAATAGAAAACTTTTTTGTATATGTATTAAATTAATTGTGAATACATAAATATATTACATTATTTTTTAATGATATTAAAATTAATAAAATTAGGTTTTATAAATTATATATTCATTCTAGTATATAGAATTAATTATGTATCACATATGAATAAATTTAAAGAAATAAATACTTAATATTTAATCTATTTAATTTATTTAATTTGTTTAATCTATTTTTACTAAAATATGACATATACAATTTGACAAATTATTTTTATATAAAATCTATGACAATTTTATACATTAAATAAAATACATATGAAATTCAATGAATTTTTTTCATTTATAAACAATATTTAACGATTTGAGATAGGTGATTAGAAAATATTATATATATATATATATATATATATATATATATATATATCAACTATCTCAAATCGTTAAATATTGTTTATAAATGAAAAAGATTCGTTGAATTTCATATATATTTTATTTAATATATAAAATTGCCATAGATTTTATATATAATATACAAAAAAACCAATGCTATTTTCTTTTAATCTTGTTTAAATTTATTTAATTTCGTAATTGTTCTACATCATGTCGCAAATATAATACAAAATTACTACACATTGAAAGCATCATCTTTTTATTTTTTTGAGATTACTTAAATCGCTATATTAGAAATAGCTGTATTATTGTAATGACTTGATGTAGCATTTTATCTTCAACGTTATGTTTGGAAAACGCCATTGCCGAAATAACTTGAGCTTCAGTTGATTAGTCATCTAAACACAAATAATTAAAGAATGAAGAATTTGATTGAATAAATTTAATATTATAAAATTTTCTTTCTAGGATTATTATTCGATTATCTTGTAAACCCATAGTTACTTTTTAATTAGATATAATTCAAATATCCAAAATATTCCTGCCGTGACATATTCGGATTCGCGAATATTACTTATTGTTGGACTAAAAGACTCTCTTTGTTATATTAAAAGGCTTTTTTTCTAAGTAATTGTTTAAATGTAATAAAAATTGCATTATTTTGTTGCGAATTAATAATCGTTTGGATTCAATATATATCTTCTTGAGATTAAGACAAATTTCTAACAAAATGTTATTACAATTTTAAATTTAATTACGCAAATATTTTTCCTGCATCATTTTTTGTCACTAATAGCATTTAAATTTTGACTCTTAATGCAAAATAAACAAAAATAAATTCTCCGTTTTTAACACAAGAAAAAGTCCAACGTTTTGAGAGATTTGACATTTTAATAGTTTCTTATTTTATATTTTTAATTGTACAAATAAAACATGATAATCATACGTGATACCTATAATGTTATTCATACGGCAATTCATTAATATATGTTGGGAACAATTACAATTAACAAGTTAAAACGTAATGAGATCTGAAATATGAGTATAATGGCTATCAGATTCAAAACTAATATCTTTAATTTATATTATTGTACATTCACAGACACACATATTAATAAATTAAATAAATGTATTAAACCACAACTCTTTATATTCGAAGATAGCATTTATTAATGTAACATTTATATCTTTCATATTTATATCTTTTATATTATGTTTATATTATATTGTATAATTTTATAAAATTGTTCCTGTATTTATCAAGCATTTTTAAAAATTCGTTTTTAAAAATTAAATTAATAATTATTTGATTGATTTCTTGATATTTTCTTATTAATATAGTATATAAAGAATTATTGTAATAGAATCTATGAAAAATTCTTACAATTAGATAATATATAAATTACTATTTTTAAAATATTTAAATTATAATATTTATAATATTAAATAATAATATTTATTTTATATTAATTATTAATATAGATAATGAAGATTTTAGTAGTTTGAAAATATTATATATACAAATAAC